TGAACTTCTTCTGTTACGTTTTTTAAATGACCAGAAAATGTTTCACACCAACTCCTTTGTTCTGATGCTCGCATTTGCTGGTATTCTTCTTCTTTGCCTTTTAAACTATTCGTTTTACTCTCTAAATCAGATTGTCTCTGTTCAAGATCTTCTTCCAACTTCGCCCTACGCTTTTGAAGGGCAGCAAGTTCGTACTCTTTGCTTGAAACTAAATATCGACGATTTCGTTTCACATCTTCTAGTTCTTTTTCGAGAAGATCGTTCTCTTTCTTGAGAATATCAACTTCTTTCCTAAGTTTTTTCAATTGTTTGTTCAATCCATCGATATTTGTTTTTAATTCAACTATTTCTTGTTCAATGCGTTTCAATATATTCATCATTAATTTATCTACGTATGGAGAAGATTCAGTCACTATTTGACCAGTTCGATCGATCATAATCAATAATATTAAAGCTAAGCTGAGATGCAAAGGAAACAATTCTTTCGCACTAGTACAACTCTTCATCAGAAGGCCATTTCGAACTGATTCTTTCGTGCATGTATCTAGAAGGGTTCGAATCGTGGACATTGAATCTTCGACGATGTAATGAATGTGTTGTTCTGGATGAAATAAGGATTGATTCATGGTTGGATCTGTTGGGTATTTGTACTGGAATGTAGACAATCCATGATACGTTTTAGACAAAGAATTGTTCAATGATGAAGATGTTGGTTCGATTTGATTTAATTTTCCACTAAGCCATCCGTCTATTTCAGTAAACTTCTGACAAATCATTTGTACATGATCGGAATATTCTGGAGCCAAGAGTGATATAACATCATCAGGTCGAAGGTCGATGGGTAAAACACAACAAAATGCATCATGAGGAAAATTTTTCAGTTGATTCCGAACTCGATTCAAATCATCTCCAATACTTTTTATCGTTTCAAACATGTTGAATACATTCAAACAAACTTCAGCCATCGGTTTTTCAAGTGATTTCGATAGAGAAGCCGCTTTTTCATAGTTCATCAACATGTCGTGGTTAGATTCTTCAATAAGTAAATTGTGTCGGAATTGGCTGTAGGCGACAACTATTCGATGAAACTTCGATTGATCTTCTGAAATTTCCATAGCAAGATCATCTCGAAACATCATCAATAACTTTCGTAGTTCATCGATGTCTTTCATTGATCTAAGAAGATTCATAGCTTTCAACCATGTTTGATCAGATACTTGAGCGTGTGTTAATCGAATCATATGACTCAGATCGAGTAACGGATGGACTTGGCTGGCTTGATTGATTGCATCTGCTAGACCTTTTAAATCGTTAGTTTCTACATGTTTATCCGTGTTCTCTTCTGGTTTTAGCGTTAGATTGTCTTGACTGAGTTTGATAATTTCATCATCATTCGGAAGATTAACTTGAAATGTTGTGTATTGTTTTATTTCTCGATCGAAATTGTCCAGTTGATCAATGAGTCTTTTTTCTTCATTGATGAGCAAATGGAGACTTTCTTCAGTCTCGTGGTTGACATCGAACGTCCGTAGCTTTTGTAGAAGAAGATGAATCTGTTCAATAAGGTTTTGTGGTCGTAAATCCATTTGACTCGCTCGAGATAGTTGATTGGTCAATGTTTGAATCGCTGCTTCGATTTGATTTCGATGTGTTTGTTTGCGCGATTCAATCGAATCAGTGATCGATGGAAAACTGTTTCTTCGTGAACTATGATTCGATTCGCTTGATGGCAAAATCTGATCATTTATGTCGAACAGTGGCGCAAAATCATTTACGACACTCGTTAAATTATATGCTGCGAGAAAACTTGATGGAAATTTCATTTGAGCCAAATAATCATTAAGTTTTTCTTGCCAATTTTGAAACGCTGTTTTCGATTGACGAAAACCAACGTTCAGTTCGTTGTTTTCAATATCGATGACTTTTAATGTTGATTGGAAGATATGGTCGAAGTGAGCAATCATATCAGGTGTTGATTTGTACAAATCTTTAGAAAACTGTTCACCCAAATAAATGAAGTGTTGTGTGATTAGTTTTAAGAGGAGATCAATCTTTTTGATGAAATCGAATAGAAGATAATAATTCTTTATGGAAACTTTATCTGACACGGCTAAACCTTCTCGTAGGTAAGAAGAAATCATCGGTATACAACTATACTTTTGGGTTGTTTCCAAATAACCCAAAGACATGATACGACTAATCATATTAGATGATTCAACAGAACGGATACTGTTTCTTAATTGTTGTTCGAAATTTTGAACAAGTGCAGTCGAGAATAGATTTTGGTACTTTTTAATTAATTTCCACATCTCTTCAATATCGATCACCCAAGGGTCATTCGATGATAGACTGGAACGATCCAAATAATTGAGCTCATCATCAAAACGTTTCATATTTTGAAAGATCGACGTGAAGGCTTGATTTTCACGAGTATTTCGTTCAACAAAGTCTTTCAATTGATTGAAAACTTTCATCGTTTGTTGATAAATTTCACTGACCCAAATGTTTGTTGTGTCACTCAATCGACGTAAGTAGAGAAGAGAAGCGATCGCAAATCGATGAGCAATACTTTCTGTATTGATGTTATCAACAGTCGGTAACTCTTTCTGATCGATTTGATATTGAATACTTTCCGGGAGTGTTTTTTTAAGAGATTCTTCTAACTTGTCAGTCGATATGTCACCTTGCAACGTCAACAGATGAAGTTTCACCGTTCGTGGTTGATTTTCAACAAACAATAATGAACATTGATATTCTTCTTTACTTGGGCAGAAAAAGGTCAAATCGTTTTTACGGCAATACCGTAAGTCAAGATCTTGACCTAACTGATTCCAATCAGAAATAATGTGTAATTTAAAATCATGATTGAAGTCTGGAAGAAAATAGTAACCGCACGAAAAGAATGTTAAAGGTGAATCAAGTAAATTCTCATGTTGGATCCATTCTTGACCAAACGATGTTGATAAAACAGCTCGAATATCTAAGAGACCATCGCTATTTTTCAATGCTGGATTTTGTTTTGCTTCATTCAATATTTGTATAAAAACGCTCAGTTGTTTCGAATCAGGTTGTTCAAAACGCATTTGAACGTATCGATATGCTTCACTACGATTGATAGTTTTCATATTTTCGTTTAGTTTCAGTCGACTAGATTTTGCTTTGCTCAAGATTTGTTCTCGATTTCTTTTACACCTGTCAAATTTTTCTTTGAAATTAAAAAACTCTGCTGTACGAATGGAATATTGCTTTGTGAGTGCATCATGTTCAGCTCCAGAATACGCTTCATCTGAATTGAAGATAGATCCTTGTCTGTCAATGTCCTTTAAAGATTTACGATTTGTTGATGGTGAACTGGAATCTTGACTCTGTCGATTTTTTTCCAAACGCTCTTCGAATTTCATTAGAGCTTCTTCAATTCTTGCCAAATCAGTTTCTTTTGATTGTAATTCATGGTTAAATTGTAAGTATTGGGTATTAGTTTTATCTAATTCGTTTGGTAATTCATTAACTACTTGTTTGATCGTTTCATTCAACTTCTTTATTAGTTCTATTGAGCATGACTTAAGTTCACATTGCTCGAAAAATTCTTGAGTTATTGCTACATTATCTTGAAGCACGTGGCGAACACTGTCAGAGAGATAATCATCTAACATCCACTGTAAACCTATCCATTCGAGAAGACTTGTGAAATGTTGAATTGGTCCAATGATAGATCCTCGTTTATCACCATTAATGATATGTTCAACAAGTTTTCGAATATCTTTTCGTGATAATCGAATAGGAAATGCTTGTACTCTCTCAAACGACCATAGTAAACCATCGTTGCCTTTGACAGCTTCACGAAGAAGTTGTTGAAATTGTTGTTTCATATCAACAAAAGCTTTATCTTGAAATATTTGAAATGTTCTATATTTTCCTTTGAATTTCAAGATTGGCCGAAGAATTTTAATAAATTCAGCACTCAATTGTAGTATGGAAGTTTGAGGAGGAAAACTATCGAAAACGGGTTGGCTGAGGCATCGTTCGAATAATTCGATAATCGTCATCACACGACGAAGAAACGTAAAACGATCCTGGTAATCTTTAAACGATGTGTTACTGATGAATTGTTCGAGGTTTAACGTTAGTTGATCACAAGTAGTCTTGAGCCACTTCGATCCATCATTACGCAGCTGATCGATCAGAGTAGAAACAGATTGGGATTGTGTTAACTCAACACGAACCGTTAATCGATATTCTTTTGTAAACTGTTCAAGTAATGTTTGAAATTCAAACCATTTTAGGTCATCATTCAAAATGTTGCGTCTAAACGAGTTCAATGACGTATCATTTGGCTTCATAGGCAATAACAGATTGTCAATGAATAGGCATAGGAGTTCACGTGTAGATTTGAAAAGTTTTTCATCTCTGGCGACCATGTGAACAACAGTCAAGCTCGTTTCAAGCATAAATTTTTCTAGTTGAACAACACATGAACGAATTCGTTGGGAATCTTGTTGCCATATTGGCTGAGTCTGATCAAGTTGATCCGATGGTGACGAAAAAACAGTTGATGGAAGATAAAGATTTAACTCTTCGATTATCCTTTGTAGTTCTTGAACAAAAGAACGATATTGATTCTCATTCTCAATTGATGAACAGTAGCAACGTAGTATCGACCAATAGCAAGCATCAACTGGATGAACTTGTCGTTCGACGAGTGAAATCAAGGTTCGAACACACTGTTCAAGCAAACGGTATGTTACTGAAAAATCAGTGGGATATTTGAGAAGATCCTTTTCAACATCTTGTTTAACTTTATTGTGGACCGTAACTAGAAGTTGAGCGAACTGTTTACCACCAGGAACAGTCATCAACTGATTCGAGAGAAGTTCGTACAAGTCACTTTCTAAATTGTTATCCTTGTGAATTTCATCGATAACTGGCAACCAAATACGGATAACACGGTTGAGAAAAGCTGATGACAATCGATTTGAGTAGATTCGATTAAGATTGGCCGTAGAAAATAGACGAAAGTCTTCATGAATACCCGCACCCTTCGATAAAACATTACCATCAGACTTTTCATACAGGGACAGCATCGGTTTTTCTTCTGTCAATGAATTCAAACGTTCAAGAACGTCTGGTGGTGCACTATTAATATTGTCCAGCAAAACCCATGAACCTTCACGAATAGCTTTGATGAATTCCGATTCAACGAATTCAAAGCCTATTTCATTCTTCTGATCGACACTTGTTTCTTTTAGTTCTGTTAGCTTCTTCTCAAAATAATACAACTGCTGTACGTAATAGGCGAAATGTATTTTAACTTCACGAGAAATATTCTTGATCTGACCAAGTTGCTCTATTAGAACAACTATCTGTTTGATATTGTCAATATCTTTGAATATTGTTTCCATTCGTTTTGATGTTTTGAGCGATTTACGATAAACGAGAATATTCTTCAGTTCATAAAAATGGTTCTTGTCGTCCTCTAGCATAACGGGCATCGCCAAAAGTAAGATGATTTTCGTAACTCGTTCAAATAAATCATCGATACGATCAAATATCGGCTGATGATGAACAAGATTCCGCTTTGGTAACCATGAACCTATGAGATCTGATGTTTCGAAGTTTTCATGCAGAGCAATGATGAGTAATCGATGACGGGTAAGACGAGATAGTTCGATGACTAACGATGATTTTCTTGAACAGATATCACCTTCGAGAAGAATCGTTCGTCCTGATTGACAGGCAGCTGCCAATAATTCAAGCTGACGAACAGTGTTTCTCGTATGAATAAGTCCAAAATTTTCTTTCGATGGTAGTTCTCTACCTGTTGGTATATAAATTGAACCGATACGAACAATCGATGGTACTGCTGTATCGATGGAACAATCGTTCTCACGTTTACTCAATGTACTGTTGATCGGAAACGACTCATGAATGATACTACAAGCTTTGTTGAAATCATCTTTTCCTTGAAATTGAGATGCATATGCAACTTGAGCGAATTTACGAATCGATAAAATACGTGCATCAGATACATTGATATTTGGTCTTGCTACAGATGTATCATTGACGGCGGTTGATAGCTGATCTTGTTTATCTTCGTCATCACTAGCTGTGTTCATAAAACGATAATGAAAGAGTTGACTATCGATTGAACCACAAAATACATCACGAAACTTCGTTAAATCACGTAAATTCAATTCGTAGGGTCCACCTGTACGACCTATTTTACCTTCTTGAACAAGTGTTTTCAATGCACAATGCATACCAAATGCAGCATCGAGTTGACTCATATCGATTTTTTTTTCTTCTAATTTATCTTGAAAATCTCCGTTCAAGATCAATCGTAACTCAGCAGTTGAGTATTGTTCAAGTTGAACGATTGTAAAAAGATTTCCAATAGAATTCGGTAATTTGTTTCGACCACCACCAACAGTCGATGGATTCATGGTTGCAAATATTAGTGTGTCTTCAAGATTGACAACTTGACCAGTACTAGGTACAGTGTATTGTTTAACACCACGATAAAATAAAGTTGTGAGGCCTTGAAGAACTTCTGGTGACGCTAAATTGAGTTCATCAAGTAAGATCCACTTCTTTTCAGTAATAGCTACTAAAATTCGACCTTGTTGCCATTGAAAAGTTCGCACACCATTGATAATACGAGGAATAACACAGCCAATCAATTGATCAAGAGATGTGTTTGCTGACATATTGATACGTTCGCATTTTTTATTCAGCAACGAACAGACTTGAGTAACAACGTGAGTTTTACCGATACCCGGCGGACCTTCGAGAAGTAAAGGTGTCTTTGATGATATTGCAGCGAATATTCGAGCAATTTGATTCAGAAGAGTTGAAGTGGAAATAGATCTGAATTTACTTTTGAAATCTTCAAATTGTTTAGCTGAATCATCGTTGGATTCGAACACACATGGACATGAAACTCCAGTGTAACGTAGACGAACATAACCTGATCCAATCTCGAATGGAAACGGTTCATCTTTATCGTCGTTTTGTTTTGAATCTAATTCTCGTAAAATCATCGCACCATGAGAGGCAGTCGGCGCATGAAATATGTGTTCGTATTCTTTGTATTTTTTTGCTGATGGATCCGTGTCCAACCACTGTTGAAACAAGGAGCCATGTCGAGAAATCGGTATTTGATCAAAATAGAAGAATCGTGCACCGAGCAACATTCGATGTTCAAGAGGTGTTGAGTTTGGATGATTGATGATAAAATCTGTCCATCTGAGAAGTAGTCGAACATCGATTTTTACCTTCCATTCAGGATGGGCATGTAATTTTCTGCGCAAGGAAAACATTGTATCGACTATTGATTCAAGTTGTTCAGCATCAGCTACATGTTTTTTCAATTCATTTTTCAATAAACCTCGAAGATCATTATCCGTATAAGGTGTTACATAGATTTCTGTGAAACGTGATCGAGTTGCTGGACTTAGTTTGGTGACTTGATGTATTTGATCTTGATGAACACTAGCAAATACTTGAAATTGTTTCGGTAAATTAACTTCGAGTTGACCATTATTCGATTGACTAGTAATGTCTTCGGTCAACGCAAATGTTGGACTTGGTTCGAGCATTGAATTCAAACGTTCAATAATTGCTTGACTTGGTAGATCGATATCTTCGAGAAAGAGAATTCCACCACGTTTAGCAGCAGTAGTTACGGGTCCATCATTGAATAAGAAAATTTGCTTTGAACGTTCTGAGCCCTTACTCTTGAGATCATTCCAAGCTTTCTGTAATTTTTTATGAAAATCTTGCAATGTTTTGTCGTTACTGAAAATTGTTGAATACTTTTGATTATCAAACTCATTTTGGAAACATTGAATGATTTGGTTAATTGTATTTACTAGTTCAGTAGGATAATCATGCCCTTCAATTAATGTAGGTTGAAGTGATTGTGACGAATCTGAGACCGGTTCTAAACTAATAGCCCCGACATCAAATGATAGGCCATCGTCAACTGAGGTGAGACTCTGAGAATTTGAAGTAGAAGATGAAGATGACTCTAAAACAGCAATCTCACCCAAACCATCATCAACACAGGTTGATGAAGAAACTGGTGCGTAACCACCTAAGCCATCGTCGATATAGGTCGATGAAGAAATAGCTCCATAATTACTCAACCCATCATCGACCATCATACTACTTTTATCGTTTGATTGACCATGTTTCATTGTAAAATTTTCGTTTATTCGAGTTGAATCTCCATCTTGAGTGTGATTTTGATCACAAAACTCTTCGATTTGCCACGACGAAAAATCTTGTGAATCATAATCAAAGTTAAAATCTTCTGTCGGATTTTCGATTACGTCAACAGTTGTTTGAGGTTGTTGAGGAAATGCTGGTAAAAATGGAGCTTCCTGATTGTTATCTGCTTCATTCTTCTTATCATTGTTTTCTTGTTCTTCAGAATGCATTTGTTCATATTGATTTATTAGTTCGTTAAGCTTTTTAATCAATTTCCGTTGCGATTCGATAAAAAATTCATGATCTGTATCGTTTAGAAATGCATCATTTGCTGCTTGTCGACATAGTGCATTCAATCGATGACAAATAAGTTCTATCATTGACGGCAATCTTTTCAGTAAATCAAGTGGTGAATAGGGTTGAATCTGACCGATTAAATCACTAGCTTCTATATCAGGTGTTAAATGTACTTTGAGTAAATCAGTAGATCTATTCGATAGTTGTGCCCACATTTCAACGAGAAGTGTTTTACATGATGTCGGTCCAACAAGCAATACAGGTTCGTTGCTTTGAGCAGCAAAAGCAAGACGAATCAATGCTCTTTGAAAACAGTCGGGTGATATGGCAACAAGAGTATCTTCTATTGTCATTTGTTTGATATTTATATTTAATTCTCCTTCAGAGAATCGAGCATTGTCGTCTACTTGACTGATGTTGATGAGCTGACTTGGGGATAATGAAATACTCGGCCAAATTTCAGACAACTGTGTAATCAACTCTTTCCGGATTTCCGAATCGAGAGGATATTTTCCACCTAACAACGACACACCGATAGCAGGCCATGATTGAACTTTCGGCGAGAAAACAGCATGTCGATGAATCCACTTGATCAGTTCACGAAATGTTATTCTCAAAGGTGTCTTGAGAACTCGATGATAAAACTGCGATAATTTTACACTACAATCTTGAGTCATACAGATAGGTCGTTGTTTACCATTTTCGCGACGACGATCAATAATTTCTGCAAGTTCGTTTTCCGGAAATTCGTCGAACTGTACTTCTAGAAAACGATTACGCAACGAAACTGGCAATGGATGACGATTCGCATACGAAGCATCATTTTGTGTAGCGAAAAATTGAAAGCCAGCTTTCGCCGTTATGATTTTACCAGTTGATGGAATCATGATAGTATTTTTACCTTCAAGTAATGGAAATAACATACTCATGACCGATGGATCAGCAAGATTAAACTCATCCGCAAGAAACCACCAACCATTTTCCATCGCTCTGTACAGAGCACCCTTTTGAAATACAAACATTCCATTTGTCGGTAGATAAGTACCTAGATAGTCTTGAACAGTAGTTGTATCCGAATTATTCACACGTTCAAGATCAATTTTTACTGAAGCACTCACATTGTTTGTTTCTGACTTGAATGTCTTGAATAAATCAGATATTAAAGCTGTTTTCCCGACAGCAGCTGGACCTTCAAGTAGAATGGGTAGATTACATGCTACAGCACCCAGAACAGCGTTAGCATAATTTTCACGACTTGGTGTTAATATGTAACTGTTGTTTTTAGTAGTATTCTTGAGGAAAATTGGTATCTTGAGATTGTTTTGTTTACTTCGACTAGTTAACAATTGTTGAACACTTTTAGTAATTTCACTTTTAACATTTTCATCTTTTATTTGATTGGCAATCGTTACATGATAAGCTGTCCAGAGACTTGATATAAAATCAATCTCAGAGTAAAATTTCAACTGAAGATGATAGACACTATCCAATAATCGCACGAAGTTTCGTAAAGTTAAACTTGGAAAACTTTTACGATTCTTCTCATAGAACCGTAGAATTTCACGACACAAATCTACAGCCAACGAGTGATCAGTTGTTGTTTCGTCCGAAAGAAGTGCCTTAGCAATATCCATGATCTCAGATGATGTACTAATGGAAGAATCAAGTACGATATCAGGCATATGAACGATTGCAAAACGATTGTACAATGCTGGTGACAGATCGTTGTTTGTTGTCGTCCCGTACGATTGACATCGAGCATCAGGTGGTGTCATTGTGGCGACAAGTTGATATTTTTTATGCATAATTTGTTCTTGAAGATCGTTATTTTCACTTAGAATCAACATCGGTTTTTGTTCTAATATTGGATTCATTCGTTCGAGAACAGATGATTCAGCAACATTGAGATTATCCAAAAGAACCCAATGTCCATTAAGAAAAGCTTTTGTAACACAACCATTCTCCCAAATCAATTTTTTACCACGGTTCGAATTCTTCGGATCATCCGAATATTCATGAGTATTTGGAATCATTTGACCAATGAGAGCAGATGGTTCGGTTTCGGGCGTTATGTTTAACTGTTCGATAGATTCACCAATAAGCCAGGCCAATGTCAACAGTAATTCCGATTTTCCACAACCTTCGGCACCGGTGACCAGAATAGGTTGTTTGATGTGTCTATTGAAACATACTTGCTTTAGTGTAGTTAAATTTCGACTCGTCAACACGTAAGGAACCTCAATATGAGCTGTAGTTTGATCTTGATGAACGATATCGAATTTATAAGTTGAAAATGTATTCTTGAAGCACTCGACGATTTTCTTTTGAGCTTCTTTATGTCGAAATCGATTTGTGTACAACTGACAACCAAGTTGAAGAAATTTACTTTCATCATTTAGATAATTACCACGTGTTGCAGATATTAACCAATCATAAAGCCAATTTAGATTAATACGATGGATTCCATGAGCACTAATGAAATCATGATGAAGAATAGTTTGATGAATTGCTACATGAACTTTATGAGTTGATTCCCAAACATGAACATCAAATGGTATTGCCTTAAGATCTGCTGTTTTGAACAAACGTATCCATTCTGTTTGTGGATTAAAGACTTCATAGTTCATCTTTATGGCACAGGAAACATTGTCGAATCGAAGTTGTCTATTTTTTTGATCGATAACGAATTTGATTGCTTCGAGTGATGGAGATCCCCATCCACCATGACCATCGTCAGTCAATATGTTATATACTAAGCTACGACCCAAATCACGAAAGCGAGCACCATAGACACACCAAGCACTAAGGCTGAGCAATTTGAATCGTTCATCTGCATCGGATGGCCACGATCCATTTATCGTTTGCCAAATTAATAAATCAACCCATTTGAGTAATTCTCTAATCGTTATCTCAGCATGAGCACCAATTTCTATCTTGGATTTATCATCAATGTTAGCTATTTTTTTACGAATCTTGACATGAAACTGTTTGACCATCAAATCGGCAACATGCTTAGCATCGTCTGGAAGATGTTTGACTAATCGATTTGTAACTATTTGACACCATTCTTCATCTGGTAATTCTTTGAAAACGATCGGTCGAAAACGACTCAAAAATGATGGTGATAATTTTTCTCGTTTGCCTTTGAAGAAGCCCGTGTTTGGATTTTGTGTGGCAAACAAACGAAAATTTTCATGCATCGAATGTGTGATGATGGGATGTTCAGCCGATGTTGGATTTCGGATCATTAAACAATGTGTATCTAATGCTGATTCGATGGCTTGTAAAACAGTATCTTGAGCTAAGTTGAGTTCATCGAGAAGAATCCAATGTCCTCCAGAAAATGCTGTCGTGAATGGTCCTTCAACAAATTCAAATGGTTTTGATTCATTAGCAACTAATATTACTTTGCCAAGAAGATCATCGATCGTTATTCTTGATGACATATTCATACGAAGAAGTGTTCGTTGTGATTGTTTAGCTGCTTCAATGATACTAGCACTTTTACCAACACCAGTGCTACCTTCTAGAAGAATTGAAATCGGATCATCGAGTACCTCAAGAATTTTCGATACATTTTCCAGAGCAGTATTGGTTAGAACCAATCGATCTGTATCGTATTGCTTTTCTTTGTCGCCATTCGAAGAATCAGGATTTGGAAAAATATGCAAACGAAGGATCTGATCAATTTTACTCGATTCAGCATTCTTCAGCTTATTCAGCAATGTATCACGAATGTGAAAATCACTGTGTCTCACCAAAGTTATATCGGTCTTCTTGGTCTGTTCGTTACCAAAAAAGGACGGTTTATCTTGTTGAATATCGCTGTTTAATTTATCAACAAGGTTATCGTCGTCTGCCGTATTTTGGATTAGTTCATCAAATATTAATTTTTCTTTGGTTGATAAATCGAGAAGTTCTCGAAGCAGAATGACTGATGTTCGTTGCATTTGTTTTCTGTTCCCTAACAATCCGATGATGTTTGGCGAGTAAGGTAGCAGAAGATGTTTTAAGATGTTCCGTGATTGATCTTTGGTAATTTCTTTACTCAGAGAGAGAATATGCCATGAGTAGCTAGTTAATTCTTCTGTATCTTGTGTTGCTTCAATCAAATTGAACAGTGGTTCAATTAATCGTTCAGATAGCAATTTTGTCAGTGATTCGTCCATTATTTGATTGATAAATAAGATAACACTGCCAAATGGGCTAACTCTGTTGAAATTCGTCAACAACAGTATTCTATCGTAACATTGGACAAAGAATTGTGCAATATCTTTTTCACAGTTGTTATCAGTAGAATAACCAATTTTAAGAAGCATTTCGATCATACGAAATTTTAGAACTTGTTCGGTTGTTGATTGCAGCCAATCCTGCAGGACAATATGAACAACATCTGATTGAAAAATATACTTTTGTGTGAGTTTGTAATTAGCCAATAATTCCAAAATTAATAGTAGATGTGTAATATAATTTTTGGCTATCTCTGACTGAATAATGATAATGAATTTATCAATCTGAATTTCGTTTGCGTTTTGTACATAGATTAACAATGTTGTTGTAGGACATAGAGCATTAATAATCAGTTGATAAGAAAACTCCATCGGATGTTTATTACAAATAACAAACAATGGGTCAAGGTAATTGAAATTCGTAAACATCGAAACATGTTTCAATATGGTCAAAACTGCAGGACGATGAATCTTCTTGTTTTCTTCATTATCATGCATGGTAAAGTCGATATACCACAATAGAATTTCTTCTGGTATCTGCTGAATGATGTCATACAAACCGGCTGCGTCATATTTTGGTAGAAGCTCTTGAAGCAATAAGAAATATTCGATGTCTCCATCATGATTGTCTACTGATGTTCGACTGCATATCGATTTTGTCAATTCTTCCAATAATTTTTTCGATTCTGTCGTTTTTCGACAGATCAGCAATTCAATCATTTCAATCAAGTGACGTCTTAGTGCGCTACGAATATTTACATCATTGAACGAAGTCCAAACATCGAATAATTTTAAAATGAAATCCTTCAAAGATTTATCAATACCAACAGTCTTGACCAACTTCAAACGATCGAACAGAATCTCACATACAGTTTCATCAAGTACTTTAATTTCTTTGAGAAACGAGAAGAGACGCAGCCAAGGAGTAAAAACAAAGTTCGCTTTCAGATTTCTCAATTGCATTTGACCAAGAATAGTCATGAGTTTTTCTTTCTCTCCACATACTTTCAGTCCTTGATGAACGATTTCGTCGATACGTGAGCGTGGTGCAACATGTCCATCATCGAAAGTATCTTCTCGTCCATCACTCCAAACAATTTTCATTGATTGATCTCCGACAAACTTCATATGACCTAAAACTTCTCTGACAGCTTCTCCATCATCACCACTAGCATTCTGTATGATTAATGGATTGAAATAGAGTTGCCACATTGGACCGAAATAATTTGGATCAACAAGATATTCGTTCATGTCTCGAGCGTCATCCTCTTTGAAGTTGATAGAAATTTTTAATATTTCGACTAATGAATCCATTTCTTTTCCAGTACATGCTGCAACGTCGAATAGTCGTAGAAGATGCGATAGTGTCAAAGGTTTCCCAGGATTATCCATTCGTCTGAAAATATTTCATGATAGATGGAACTTTACGTGAATGAGAGCTGAGATTTTTCGATTTCTTCGAAAGAACTCAAAAATAACTCACTGTAAATGAACCTTTTTATCTGGAGTTAGTTGCGGTAATATGACACGCCTTTCACGAATTAATTCTATCAAGCCTTTACCGGGAATGTCTTTTGATTTTGTCATGAGCCACCAATACATGAATTGGACCATTTTTATCGGCAATGTCTAAATCGAATTTTTTCAAGATACCACCAACTTCAGAAATATCACTCCTACTTGAGAACCATGGTCGAGCATACGCGTTCCGTATGGGTAGAAAATAAAACGCAGAATATCTACTGCATTGTCATTTGGTAATTGACGAACATTATATACCAACTGATCGATTGAATTTTCGATTGGCGCCGTGTCACTTTGTTGAGACTCAGCTAACTGCTTGAATCCTAATTTTAAGTTTTTACTTAGTTCGACGATATTAATCATCGGGTTGTTTGAAAAACCGTGCGCTATTCAACGTCTGATTCAAGTAAATCACAAATTAGTCATTATCTAGAATGATATATAGAGGTATCACTGTTGGAACGCTTGAATTGGTGCCCTCATACCACTGCAAAAATATAAAAAGGAAATTTTTCCAAAATTAAATTATAAGCAATGTTTTTGCCTTAAATGGGTGTCCGTCTAGAAAGAAAGAAAAAATCTGCTAATCTGTACAGAAAAATGATAACGATTTCGGTATAACCCTGATTTTATCGGAATATTTCAACCAGCCACCTTCTTAAGAAAAAGGGATAACATTGATCCTCTATTTTAATTAATCTTTTTACTAGAGAAGAGATGAATGTACACATCACTCACTTGAGTGATCCCTGGGTTTGATGAGTAATTGACTTATGCTTTTATTTGGTGGATTGATGTAAATATGAGACTGAACTAAATCCTACGGTATAATATTTTTTCCAAATCATCATTCAAAGAATCCTACTTCGTTTTCAAAAAATCTATTGAAAAATCCAAATTCTTATGAGGGTGTGGGTTTGAGTGTGGGGTGTGGGGTGCGGGTGTGGGTGTTGGGCGTGGGTGTGGGTGTGGGTGTTGGGCGTGGGTGTGGGTGTGGGTGTTGGGCGTGGGTGTGGGTGTGGGTGTGGGTGTGGGTGTGGGTGTGGGTATGGGTGTGGGTGTGGGTGTGGGTGTGGGTGTGGG